AGAAGCAGGCTTCCTGCCGAGCAGGGAGCCCGATGCGGGACTCGATCCCAGGACCCTGGGATCATGACCTGAGCCGAAGGCAGACGCTTAACGACTGAGCCACCCAGGTGCCCATATTGCATAAAATATGTCACTTTGGACATTTTTAAACTATTTTTAAGTGTATAATTCAGTGGCATCATCATTACATTCACAGTGTTATGGAACCATCAACGCTATCTTCTTCCAAAATTTTTTCGTCACCCCAACAGAAACTGTAACAGAGTTAAGTAATAACTCTCCCGTTTCCCCCTTTCCCAGCTCCCAGTAACCTCTAATCTACTTTCTGTCTCTATGCATTTGCCTAGTCCAGATAATTCATATAAGCGGAACCAATATTTGTGTTTTTGTACCTGGCTTATTTATGAGGCAGGGATCTTGTGTGTCTTATTCACTGCTCTCTCAGCTGAGACCTAACTCAAAATACATAGCACATGGTAGATGCACAACAAATACTTGTTGACTCAATTCATCAATTTTAAGCAAGTCACAATTTTTCTAGATCTCAGTGTCTTAACTGTGTATAACCATACATTCATTAAACATTTTTTTGAGACTTTATAGTGTTTCAAGCATTGTGCTTACTCATCGAAATATCATAATGTGCAAAACAGCTGTCTCTGCTCAATGAACATTCAGTTTCTTTCCTGTCTGGGAATGTCATCTTCTTTGATTCTGTGCACTTTTAGGATGGAAATACAGTGGACCACTGAATAAGGGTTAGGGATGCTAACTGCCCACACAGTTGAAAACCACATTTAACTTTTGACTCCCCAAAACCTTACTAATTGCCTACTGTTGACTGGAAGGCTTACCAATAACAAAACCAGTTGATTAACACATATTCTGTATATGTATTACATACTGTGTACTTACTCTTATAATATGCTAGAGAAAAGAAATTGTTATTAAGTAGTAAGAAAGAGAAAATACATTTATAATACTGCCCTTAGCAAAAAAAAAAAAAAAAATTCCATATTTAAGTGGACCCTCACGGTTCAAATCCATGTTGTTTTAAGGGTCAACTGTATATAGAACAATGAAGCATACGGAAGTAAGGGAATCTCTGCCTCACCTGTCAGAATACGTGATCCTAACTGGAGTGACAGATGTCAAAAGCCATACTGTCTTCAAATTAATTTAACATTAGCTGCACCTTTCATTCTGTAGGGTGATAATGAGGGTCACGTGGATATATATATATGTTTCAAACTATAAAACTCTCCATAAATGTAAGGTAAAAGTATTGTAATTTTTGATTTACTACTTTTTATGCTCTGGGAACTAAAAGCAAACTACTGCACTATATACAAATTCTAATGTAATGTACTTATAAACTTAATGACAATCATGGCAGAACCTGGTTTTTTAAATCAATGTTAATTATACTGTGCCTGAATTTTGCCAGGCCTGTTCCTATAGTGTTACATGTTGACCAACAAAGGAAGCTATTTCCAGACAAAGGGGCTGATGGCACTAAAAACAAAGCACTTTGCTTTATTCACTTTCAATACCCAGCACAGCACACACACACATACCTTTAAACCGCAATGACACGAAGAGGGCAAGCAGGACTCACCAACCCTCTCAGCTCTTCAGACAACACTTGAGGATTTCTACTTGAAGGCCTGTCTTCCTAAGCTTGTGCTTTCAAAACGGGCTGGACTGATCCCAAATACTGAAGTAACAAATATTACTAAATTCTGTCATTTCCTCTACCAAAAAAAGTGATTTTACTACTACTTCTAGTTGTGATGAAAGGTCCTATTGACTATTCAAATCCACAACCAAGTTATGGATGCGGTATTAAATGACTTCACTCTTTTTTCTCTGGCACTTTAACACATGCCAATGCTTTCATCCACCTCCACTAACCTGGCTTATAAATTACTGAGGTGGGGCCATTTTAACAGTATGATTTGTTCACATCTCTAGAGATGGGGTATAAATGAGACTGGCTGAGAAGACAAACTCTCCTTTGACAACATGTATTAGTATGTAAAGTACAGAAAAATAAATCTTCAAAAATTTGGAAATTTTTTACTGATATAAAATGTGGTGAGGGCCATACTAATTAATGGTTCTTTGATTTGTTATAAATTGAAATGTAATAAAGTGATGGTATTAAAGATAAAATGAAACATTCCCCAAGAAATAGTAAACAGTTGAAGCAAAAAAAGGTTAAAGGTCACACATTTGCTAAAAAGTTTCTTTCTAAATTGTCAGAAGGGGACTCCTGAATGCACTCTGAAACCTAAGATAGTTTGTTAATAAAAAGTTTATTGTCCTCTCCGTTTAAAACTGCCACAGAGTGATGAAAAAATATCAGAGAGCAAGATGCTTGTTCTTTCTGGATTTTTAAAGGAGTTAACTTATCCATCTTAAACCCACACACAAGTGACCAGTGTAGTCTCTCAAATCTTCAAAAAGATTATTAAGTTGCAGAGGATACAAAGGATAAAACTACGAATTGTTTAAACAGATGAATAAAACTAGTTCAGCATGCTTGTGGCCTTGGTTCAGTTAAAAATAAAGTCAGAGGCTTCTTGGGAAGTGCTCCAAAGTGAGGACCAAACAGGTACTAGAGCGAAGAGTCTGGGATGCAGGGTTGACTTTCCCAAATTTTCCACTGCACAGAGCCTCCATCTTTGTCTTGTTTTCAAAGCAAGCTGGGCTATCTGTAGAACCCCTTTCACCATCCTCTGGCATTCTTATTGGGCCCACAGAAGAAAGAACTCAATGTGTGTATGCCTACATGTGGATATACGTGTATGTGTGCACACATGCACATGCATGTGTGTGTCTTCAGCTGAGATTTACCAGGAAATCCAGGCATGTTGGCTTTACCTTAATCAGGAGTAGGCTCCACTTGGAATCTTCCAACAGACTTGGGACCTTAGTGTAGGTACTCAGAGCAAGAAACAGAAAATAGGGCAAGGAGAAACAAATCTCTGCATTCAGATCAGAACTTAGGTCCACCAACTTTCCTGACATGTTGCCCCCCAGACTCTGGACTCATGTGCCCTTATCCACATTGGCTGACTTCACCTGGAGATACTCTCTAATTTACTTAGACCTCTTCTCCCTTCATGCACTCTTAGTTAGGCCACTTCTGTCTAAGCACTGCCTTTTCCATAGCATGACAACTATAATCAGTAGCATAAGACAGCTTTGAAATTAAAGTCCTATTTCTTTCTTTCTTTTTCTTTTTTAAGCAGGCTCTATGCCCAACATGTGGCTTGAACTCATGACCCCGAGATCAAGAGTAGCATGCTCCACCAACTGAGCCAGCCAGGCGCCCCTAAAGTCCTATTTCTTACACTAAGGTACTTCTCTGCCAAAAATGGAGGGAGGGAAAGCATCAGGTGTGGGAAGAATGGCACATGGAAAGATGAGTCACAGGCCACAGACTGTGAGCAAGGCTGCCTGCCTAGAGTAAAGAACATGGGCTGGAACGGCAGTAATAAGAAAGCAGTATGACTGAGAGGGCAATGAGTATGAGCTTATAAAGCAAATGATTAACTGAAGACTGCAGACTAGAAATTTGATTCAATATCAGAAAAGGATAAGAATCTGGGGTGCCTGGGTGGCTCAGTCGGTTAAGCGTATGCCTTCGGCTCACGTCATGATCCCTGGGTCCTGGGATCGAGCCCCGCATCAGGCTCCCTGCTCTGCAGGAAGCCTGCTTCTCCCTCACCTCCCTGCTTGTGTTCCTGCTCTCGCTGTGTCTCTCTCTGTCAAATAAATAAATAAAATCTTAAAAAAAAAAAAAAGAAAAGGATAAGAATCTAAATAAAAATCAAATTAAAAAACCATTAAACTGATATTTGATGAGGGATAGCGAGGCAAAGATGATATCATAGGGAGGAACAAATCAGGAAAGAATAAGGGAACTGTTCAGTAAGTCTTTTGATTCACATGGATAAAAGGCAGCCTTCTAAAAACAAAAATATCATAAACCTTCTTGCTTCTATTAAAAGAAAAGGTCTGGATGCCTGGGTGGCTCAGATGGTTAAGTGTCTGCCTTCGGCTCAGGTCATGATCCCGGGGTCCTGGGATTGAGTCCCGCATTGCGCTCCCTGCTCAGCGGGAAGCCTGCTTCTCCCTCTGCCTCTCTCTGTCTCTTATGAATAAATAAATAAAATAAAATAAAATAAAAAGAAAAGGTCTGAGGATATAGCTGATAACGTCTTTATGATAATGTCTTTAAATAACAGTCAAACTGTGGATACTCATCCATGTGATATTCCAATCGGCTATGTCCAAATAAAAACAAAGCACTGAAGTCGATCTTCCTTTACAACTAGAAAATATATGAAATGTCTACCTCTTGAAGTACACTCAAGTATGCTAAAGAAATGCTGCATATTTCTTTCAGGAACATGCAAACCCAAGCATCTATTAGTCTTTCTACAGCATATGGAAAGACTTTATTTAAATGAGATACTAACTGGCTTCATGTTGAGAGAGTCACAAAAACCCCAGATGGGTTGGAAGGACCACGTGTTTGGTCTTTTCTTTTGGTTCTTGCATAATAAGGTGAGGAGACCATTAAGGACTTGCCAAAGGCACTAAACTTTTACTCCATAAACAAATCCCAGTGCAAAATGAGTTCCTAAAAGTGGTTTAAGAGAAGAAAGTGATCTAAGAGAAAAAAGCTGTGTGAGAAGCTACAGAGGAAAGAAGTTATAAACACACACATTCAAGTACAGTCTCCTAGCAAGTAACAACTTAGTAAAGGGCTTCCGAGTTTAGTAGGGTTTCAGTGTGCACCCACTGCTTCTCAGTAGTATTTATAATGGCATGAAGTAAGACTGTGGCCAAAGAACTTCGCATTATCACCATAACCAGTTAAATAAAATAATCAACTACAGTACTTATTTATAAAGAAAGAAGGTTAGCAATCCAAGGAAGTAGGTTGTATGTGGGAAGTAGAAAAGGAGTGAAGAGAAGTTACTTACCTGTGCTATATTTTTGTTCAGAAGATAGACACCATAATCGAATTGTAACTTCTCCCCTCCTTTTGGATATAATGGAAACCTAAAAAAAAATTAAGTAGGATCAGAAATTTTCCAAAGCTTGACTAAAACAACCTCCAAGTTGTTGACAAAGATAGAAGTTCCTTGAATACAGCATAAATATCTGGAGACTTGGACTAAACCACTTGGGTTATAGTCACTGCAACCTATTATCTTAATATCTTCATAATTGGTCAAATCAGATCACTGGTTGCTTTGTTTAAAAAAAAAAAAAATTGAGGTGGCTCAGTTGGTTGAGTGTCCATTGGACTCTCAGTTTCGGCCCAGGTCATGATCTCAGGGTCGTGAATCTGAGCCCTGCAATGGGCTCTATGTGCTTAGCGGGGAGTCTGTTAGGGATTCTTTCTCTCCCTTTCCTCTGCCCCTCTCCCTCCCCCCACACACATGTGCTCTCTTTCTCTGTCTCTCAAATAAATAAATAACTTTCCAAAAAATTGAGTAGGTCATGCAACAAGGGACTAATACATAAAAAAGTGACCCACCAAGCCCAAGGAGTTGAGGCTGCTATGTTTCATATTTATGTATCATAAGTTTACCACCCTAAAATTAAGATCCTAAAAGCTTTTTCCTCTAATACTTTGGGCCTGACATCTTAACTTCTATTAAATAGAAAAGAAGATTAAGGGGAAAAAAAAAATCAGACTTGAAAGTAACATATAAGATTTCTGTTTCTTTCAAGGTGGCCAGTCAAATCAACAGTACTAATGAGTGAAAATTCATCCAAAATTCACTCACATCCACAGGGGTGGCTATTTGGATGTTATTCCTCCAAGGCAATGTCATGCCACAGAGCTCTCATAAGACTTTCCATTTTAACCTGACTCACTGAATTAACAAAGGCATGAGATTTGTGGATCTACCAAGATGATGAGTTAAAGTTTCCCTCACTGTTACCTTTTTCCTATCCCTGCAAATGAAGAAGAAAAGGTTATATTCTACCCATATTTTCCCCATTCTCAAGACTAAGCATACATTTCTATCCTCTGACATAAACACACAAACACAGATCAATCACAATTCAGATACGATCAAGAAGAAAACTTCACCTTCCTTAGTTTTGCAATATACGATTATTCTCAAAAATAAAATAATCCTATTGAAATGAATGGAAGGTGACAATTAGTGGATATTCTTAATTTCAATTGCCCAAGGAAAAGATACACTCCATACAGTTTGGTGGATACTGTTCTCCAGGAAAAATAAAATAAAGGAAATAATTAAAAACCTTTATATTAAACTCTTGAAAGCTGTTGATTATATATAGTTGCCGAAAGGTAAATTCATTGCGCTATAAAATTACAGGCACTGGAGTTTGAGCAAGATCATGAACTTTCTTTATTCTCTACTAAGGAACACCAAATGCTTCATACATCCATCAAGAAGATACAGCTTTGTATTTAACTGAAGCAGCAAAAAATAAACTAGGCCATGTGGTATGGCCCTCAATTGAGATACATAAAAATAACAGCAAATTCAGGATAAGCAAAGCGCAATACTAGGCTTTCCCAGGGTGTTTGGGAATCATCCAAATTTGTATGAGGTAGCTTGCAAAGGAACTACCTGATTGCAAAGACATAATAGCATAATAGCATAATAGCAATCCGGCCCTCGGGAAGGAATCTAGTAGAGCCCTAAAGCTCTGTATTATGTAGTTGTTATTCTATAAACCATCACATGTAGACTGTCTGCACAGCTCTCAATCCCACATGTATCTCCACTTTCAAGTTACCAATACAGAAACAGTTTTAAATGTTAGAAGAGTACATTGAAATAAGCACAATGAAAGCCAAGTCTCTAAATTCCTGAAAAATGGATATCACAACATGGACTTTATTACTTCATCAGGACTTCTTCATAGAAAAAGTCACAAGGTGTGTGCTTAACATTAAAACAAATCTGAAGAGTGATTAAAGCCAAAGGTTCAAATAGGACAATTTTAAGACAGATCAAACATTAGGACAGAATTCATATCTTATATTGCTTTCAAATTCTTAAGGGGCCACTTCAACTCAACAATAAAACAGCGTATAACTATTATACATGCATCTCACTTTGCAAAAGTACATGGATCTACAGATCTATTAGGCAATCTAGAAAAATGAAATCCATTTTAAAGGGTAAAACCTATTACCATCAGGACATAAGATACAAATCAAAGGCATCATAATTCAATACAGATAGAGAATCACATTAGCAAACTGTAGAAGGTTTAGATAAGAATCGTGGTCATTCAAGTACAACGAGAAAAATGTCCTTAGCTCCACAAATAGGATTCATTAAAGCGGAGTATTACATTAAATAACTGGAGGAAGAACCATATATTCCCTATTTTAAAACTCTTACAGAAAAGGCAATTAAAATGATTGATATTAAATTCATTTTAAATTAAATTTCCAAACTGTTTGAAAAGTTCACTAACTCTACATGGTACATATCAATGAATATAAAAGCAATAAATAGATTATGTGTGAAGATGATTTGGAGCTCTTGAGTACATAGTTAATTTTAGTATGAATAAAGAATTATGACATTACTACCACAAAGCTATTGTGATCCCAGGCTGTATTAACAGAAACAGAGCAGATAATCAGGAAACATGCCACTGGCAACTACTTTGTACTGGGTCAGACTATACTGAGAGATTTATGCTCAGTTCTGGGAGTTAATTTTTTTTATAAGCATATAGATAAACAACTGGGAACTTCTTATAGGTTATGTTTATTATAGGTTTTATAATAATCTCATTTGACTATAAAAAGCATGAAGTGAAGTAGAGTGGTCCAGAGTTTTTGTTAAAGAAACTGATTTGCCCTGATCACCTACTCAGTGGAAGAGACATGACTGGAGTATTAGGTCTTCAATTATAAATTCAGTATTCTTTCTATCACCTCTGAGTGCTTTAGAGAAGCAGCACAACCAAGATCACTAGAAGAATGGGAGCTGTGGTTCTGAGAGAAATGGCTGAAAGAACCAGAGATGTTTAGTCTGGAGCACAGAAGTCTCAGAAAACAGATGAAGGACTTCCAGAGAGAAAAATAATTGTTTTTGTTCCCATGGTGTCAAACAGGGAGAACCGAAGTTAATGATAAAAGTTACAGGAAAACTGATCTCACCCCAGAGTTAGTCAAAATCCAAAAGATCCTGGGTAGAGGCAGCCAATCAGAAGCTCAACAACAAAGAGTGGACATACATGCAGGGGGCGTAATAGGCGGAATGGTGGCCCCCAAAAGGTTATGTCCATATCCAAATTCTGTGAATGTGATCTTTTTTGGAAAAAGGGTTGCAATTAAGTTAAGGATCCTAAGAAGAGATCATCCTCAATTATCCGGGTGGGCCCAAATCCAATACATGTCTGTATAAGGGAGACACAGAGGAGAAGGTCATGTGAAGATGGAGACAGAAATTAGTTACTTAGCCACAAGCCAAGGAATACCTAGAACCACTAGAGGCTGGAAAAGGCAAGGAAAGATTCTCCCAGAGAGCCTCTGGAGGAAGTGTGACCCTGCTGACATCTTAATTTTGGAATTCAGGCCTCCAAAACTATGAGAGAATAACTTTATGCTGTTTGAAACCAGCAAGTCTGTGATCATTTGTTACAGCAGCCCTAGAAACTGACACAGGGGTGTGTGTGTGGAGAGGGAATCAAACACTGAATGACTAAATGAAGTATACCTCCTCCATCTCCAAGATTCTGTAATATTGAATAAGCAAAACTAAATATACTGAATATAACTTCATCTTTCCTTCAGGAACCAAGAAAATATTTCAAGACCATAATGCCAAAGAGTCATCATGATAGGCAACAGCTAAGGATGCAAAGTCTATCTACTGAGGTGCTAGTAAATGGAATGAGAAAAAAAGAGATTCATATGCATATGAATTCACACATACACACACACACACACACACCAATTACTTTATAATGTGTGTGTATGTGTATATACATGAAGAATATATCTCATTCGATTTGGAAAACAATTGTAAAAGAAAGTGATTTTAAATCATTCTTACTTTAAAAAGATACAGTTATTAAAAGCACTACCCTCTCCCCAACCTAGACATTTTTAAAAAGGACTCCAAATTGGTGACAGTTTCTTGCCTTCACCTTCAGAACCCCACATCAAGGTCTGGTTCTTTAACTATTCATCTGGGGATAAGGCTATGGTATAGTTAATTCAAATTTTTTTATTGTGTATATTAAGATCAATTCTGCTCAATACATTTGTAGAAAATGTGACAATACATACTCAACATTTTGAGGTCATGACTTTACTTCAAACTAACATACTTTCTCCTGTTCAGATTAGTTTTCTACCACCACTTTTATCAGTTACTCAGGCTTAGAATGACGCTCAATTTTTACCCACCTTCTTTGCCTTTTATATATGCAATGATTCACCAAGTCAACAAGTCATTTTTCCTGTGAAACATTCTTATCTCTCCATTCCACTGCCACTCTGGAAAATTCTTTGTTGTTGTGCGCATTGTAGGATGTTTTAGCAGCATTCCTGTCTACTCACTAGAAGCCAGTATTATTCTTTATCCTCTTACGTACAAGTTTTTATCATGTTGCTTTTCAGCCCTGCTTCCTAATCACTTATTGTCTTCAAATTCCACTCCTCTGCCCAGCTTTCCAGGCCTAAGCGATCTGACCTGTCTGCCTGATTTATGTGCAGCTTATTATGCTCATGTGGTTTCCTCACAGTCTCATGAACACACGAAGCTCACCACTCTCTGCCTTTGTTCACTTCCTAGAAATGCTCATCTCCCTTTCCCTCCACCTGGAAGAGGAAAAGAGACTGTTTCACTTCATCACGACTAAAGAAAAGAAACTCACATTTTTCTACTGAGTTGTATAATATCCCTAAAGCCTTATCTCTGTGTCACTGCAAGTGGATGATAATGCAGTGACACCCTAAGGCAGACCACAGGCATACATACAGGATGGGAAATGGCTGCAGTAGAGTGAGGGAAAGGGAAAGGAAATAAAGTCAGCAAGGT